AGTAAATAAGTAAGTAAGTAAGTAAGTAAATAAGTAAGTAAGTAAGTAAGTAAGTAAGTAAGTAAAAGTTTATTTTTATAGCACCTTTCACAGACAGAGAAGGTTACAAAGTGCTTTGAAAAGGTGCAAAAAATTATACAGAAAAATAAAACAATAAAAACATCAACAACATCCTAAAACAATAGCTAAGAAACAGACAACACACTAGAATTGTTAAAAAGCTTTATAAAAAAAGGAAAGTTTTAAGTTTGCTCTTAAAGGCAACCACAGAATCAAGTGCACGTATTGAGATTATTCCAGAGCCTTGGAGCGACGGCCTGGAAGGAGCGATCACCTCTAGACTTAAAGTGAGTGAAGGGGACCGTAAAAAGATTTGGATCTGATGASCTCAGCCCTCGAGAGGGTAAATACGGACACAACAGGGCTTTAATATATATATTGACAAAATATGAACCAAATACAGCTGTGGAATGTCAATGAGAAGTCATAAGAGAGCAACATGACAACATGTGACTGATGTTGTCTGTTGAAGAATGTTCATGGGTTGACTGGGTTATTTTAGTGCTTTAGATTTAACTTTTGCTAAAATTTTCAGTGCATTATAGTACAGTGCTTTATAATTAGGGCACCTAAATATTTGAGTTAGTGTTTTTGGGCAAGTAGAACTAATTTTTAGATTAGTGCTGCCCACCACTGCCTATTTCTATTGGAGCCAATTGTGTCTGTCTGTAAGCAAAATATCTCATGAACCAATGGATGTATTTTAATGAAACTCTCAGAAAATAACTATTAGATTAACTATTAGATAACTACAACTCATTCACTTTTGAAGGCAACCCAGTTCAAGATGGCCGCCACAGATGCCTGAACTCTGCAACTATAAAAACGTCTCTAACTCAGTCAGTTTTATGGCCATGATTATAATTAAAGGGACAATATTATGTGTTTCTCAGGCATACATTTAAATACTACACCATAACAAAGTATCTATGTCACCTTTAGCTGTTATTAAAATGCCGTTTTTATGTTTAAATAGACAATAAACATATCTTMTAGGGCTGGGCGGTATGACCTCAAATTCACATCACGGTATAAATTGAACCCCTTTATGGTAACGGTATATATCGTGGTAGAAAATTATCATAAAAAGTTAAGATAATGTAATTTTTAGAGAATTTTTTTTTGCAGAAAACTGTAATCTTAATTAAACCCAACATTTTTGCTTTAACATCTGCCTGCCAAACAATGAGCTTCTGCCTGCTGAACTTATCAGCTGCTGCTCTGCTGTGTGCTCATCTTCATCATCTTCATCATCAGAGCAGAAGCCGACTTTACATTAGCAAGATGGATTTATGGCTGAAGGAACGTCCACGTCTTTTTTTAAATGATCTCTGTGGGTAACAAT